GATGTGTAGCTAGTCACCCCGTGTCACTTCATAATATACCAGCTAGCCCAACTTCAGTAACCCTAAAAACATCACTGCTGTTTAGTTTCCTGTCTTTATTGAGGTCGGAAGTGATAGCAGAGCTGTACTTTGAATTTTTCAGAATTCCCTCAGTCAGAACATGGTATATCATCTTTATACCATGTTAACACCTTAGGTAACTTCCTGCTAGCTTCTGGCTCTGTTAAATTTCATAAATTCTGTTTTCATGAATGCCTGGATGTCAAATTTAATCTTTACACCTGGTAGAGCAACAACACTGATCATTTTATTAAAGATGAAAGAATTTAGACAGTTTGTAACTCTCAGTGATGCCACAGTGTTTGTTTGACTTTAGGACCTGGTTCTGAGTTTGGATCTGCACACGGCTAATGATGTCACCACAATGCTGACCTGCTGCTCCATCACTTGAGTGCAAAATTAACATAAATAAAGAGGGAAAAAACTGATTAGGTTGCCAGATTTAGCTTGACACCCAGTCATTACTACAATCTGAACCCATTGCTATGGAAGTAAAACCAGAGTGGACATAATCTGAGCCTTGTGTGTGAGCTCAGATGCATGGAGGAGGTTGTAGCCTGCGCACTGTCTATGCACCCATAGAAAGGGCTCACAGCTGGGCGTGTCTGGTGTGAAAAAAATGTAAAAAGAAGAAAATAAGTTTTGTAGGAGATTAAAGAGCATATGGATTTAGGTTTGTTGTTGTAATATTTCAGGAGGAGATGTCAAAATTTTCCTTACTAATAATTTACGCATTTTTTACTTGTTGCCATGGTGACTGATAACGCTATAATCAGTAGTCTATTTCCCTTGTTCAGCTGGATTAAGGTGGGATGAGACATCCTAGAACTATGTATAATGATTTGGTGACATTGATCATCATTTACAGAGCCAAGTGTTGTGAACATTTTTAGAATTTATTTATTAAGTTTGGACCAGGAGTTTATTGAGTTAATGAACAGTAATTTGTGAGTTTTGAGCCTTTTTTT